TTTTTATTAAATAAAATTAATTAAATTATTATAACTAAAGTAGGACAAAAATTATGAAGAAATTTGCTAAATTCTATAATCCCTTATTATAAAACAAAACAACCAGCAATATGTTAATTAATCATTAAACCTATATATTATGATTGATATGTCTAAGATTTTAAATATTAAATAAAAAAAAATATTTTGTAAGATATTAAATTTTAAATAATTTTTTTATACTTAATTATTGTTATTTTAAATAGTAAATTATTTTTAATTTGAAATATCAATAATTATTAAGTAAATTTTATATTTATTAAATTTAATTAATTGTTATACTTGCTTAATAAAACTATATTTTAATTTCTTCTTATTCAAAATGCTTTCTAAATCACAAAGTATGTTATTATTTTTTAAATCAAATAAAAATAAAAAATGTATTTCTTTAGAATTGATAAAATTATTATTTTTGACTCAAGTCTATCATCTAATCATTTCTATTGATCCATCTTTAGAATTTTTTTAACATAATTTATTAATTTTTACTTAGAAGATTTGATTAATATTTTTTTCTCTTCATATCAATAATAATGTCTAAAATTCAAAATATTTATTTGTTTGTTTGTTTGTTTGTTTTTTAAATAAATGATATAAAAATAAAAGTTTCTTAACCAGAGATTAAAAAAGGGGGTTTTGATTTATCTGCTTCTAAAATTTTTTCAAAATATCAAGATTTTAAATGAATTGGCGTTAGATTAAAATTAGAAAGATTTTTGAAAAACAGAAAGAGAAAATTGAGCAAAAAATGTTTCATAAATATTTTTGATTTATAATTTAAAAAAATTATTTTTAAAATAAGCTGATAGGTTTCTTAAAATTGCAATTATTAGCTTTCAGTTGATGTTTACTATTAAAATTATTATCTTTTACTCTCTTCTTATTCAAAAGAATAAAAATTATTAACATGATCATAAAAAAACTTACTTATTTGTTTAACAAAAAATATTTATTATTTTATTAAATTAATTTTCTTATATGTTGTTAAATATTTTCTTGTATTTATAATTTAACTTGAAAATATTTTAAGCCAATTTAATTTATTTTGATTCGATAATTAAATAAAAAAATTAAATTAAGGGATTTTTCAAAAAACTTACAAAAATGATAGTGATTAATTTTAATTCTAAGTTTTTGAATTAATTTTC